GTCCTATGGAACATCGCCATGTAGCTCCTAGTTAAATAGTATATATAGAGACAAGAGTGAAGCCTTCTTCACTCTTATCAACTTCTTTCTTGCTTCTACTCTAGATTCAAGAATCTCTAATTTCCTTATCTTTTGGCAATAGCCATTCTAATTTCATTTTAATATATATACTTCTTTATTTTTATTTTGTTATACTTGTTTATTTATTTTCATTAATTTCTCATTCCTAACATTCTTTTAACTTTGAATTTATACTTTAAAAGTCAAAATATATTTAATTTTATTTTAAAATCTTATACAATCTTGTCATAATTCTCTATAATATAAGTATAAATTTTCACATTGATGTTTATTTTTTTCTTCAAGAATTAGTTACTTAAATTGAGTGGTATCAATTTTTATAGGTTTGAATTTTGAAGAATAGTTTTTCATACTCCTAGAATTAGATGCCATAATTTAATTTTCTTCTCTAAAATCAAGTCTTTTTTTGACATCTTTTAAATAGCAAATTATCATGTATAATTGCTTAAATAATAAATTACTCTAAAAATTTAGCTTTTGACAATGCAAATAATAATTCTTTTATGTTATTATTCAATCTATTTCAAAATTATTTAAGAAAAAATTTGTCATTTCAATCTACATTTTTTGTAAGTTATTGAAATTTAATAGCATATATAGCAATAAAATGTGATCTTTGTCATAAAGAGTGAAGTTTATTTTTTTCTATTTTTTTTCAATTTCTATTTGAAGATATAACAATAAATATCTTTAGAGATGAATTAAGATCATAAAACAGTCTTGAATGTTTTTTTTTCAATGGTACAAATCAATAGAGAGCATTCTCATACAAAAGTGTATCTATCAAATCTACTTTAATAATACCATGAAGATATTGATATATGTGTAGGTATAAAAAAATAAGTAAATAAAATAATTTGTTATAAAAATCTTCAAAATCTTGATCTAGTGCCGTCAAATTTCTCTAGCATGTTGATCTTTGTTTCAATTAAACTTTTTGTAGAAAAAATTCTAAAATCCAATTGTAATGCTGGTCTACTTGTACTTGTTTTTTATAATTATAAAACTTCTTGATGTAAACTTTCAACTTTGTTATTAACATCTTATATAAGCATTCAAAGATGACTCCTATGTAATATAAGAATTCACCTATTTAATAGAATGAAAAAAACATTGAAAACAAATGCTGAAAAAAAAATCAAAATAAGATACTTCCAAATTTGCAAAAATAAGGTTTCACACTAAATAAAATAAAAAATGAAAATCTAATGCATTCAAAAAATTAAAATAAAAAATTTTAGAAAAAAAATCTAATGCATTCAAAAAATTAAAATTCAAAAATTTCTTTTAGATGCTCTCTTTTCAAAAATCCTTGCAAAGAGTGTTGTACCTTAACCATGCCTATTGATAGTCTAACAAAGTTCTTATAGAAGAAAAGGAAGAAAGGATAATTCTATCCTAATTCCCTCTTTTCTAAATTTTTTGTAGATATAAATTAGGCTCGACACCATAACAACCTATTGTTATGTCACATTTTAATTCAAAGAGTATTGAAATGGTCATGAAGATCTACAATTGTAACAAATCTATTGTCACTTTCTCCATATATATTTTACTTTTTTTCTATATGAAACTATATTCTTATCAAAAAATTTAAGAAATGGTATAATAAACTCATTTCTTAATACAAAACAATATCTAAGAAGTGAATAGTTTATTCACTTTTTTACATAAAAAATACCTAAAAAATGAAATGGTCTACTTAATTTTTAAGACAAAACAATTTTTTTTAAAAAATCAATAGTCTTATCAAATTTTAAATAATATAATCATAATTTTAATAAAATAATAATAATTTTAAGTATTAAAGATAATATATATATATATATATATATATATATATATAAAATAAAGAATAGCTAAGAAAATAATAATCAATAGTTAATGTCAAGAATAAGAAGGCCTAAAGGTTATATAAAGAATAAACTCAAGACATAAATTGAAAAAACTAAGGAAGACATTAATCTTATATCTAATCATACTACTTACAAGATCTAAGGCTTAAAGTCCAAGTTTCTCATATCTAGCCACATAAGCTAGTACATGAGTTATTAGTCAAGTCTTAAGAAGTTCATGAAAAAACTTTCTAAAATATCGTGGGGTCCAAATTAAACCATGTAGCTTGTTTCCTAATTTATTTTAGAAGTTATCTAAAATTCTACTAATATAGCTTAATTTCTAAGCTATGTACTACATACTTCTATTAAATTTTAAATCTTTTTAGAAAGATCTACAATAATGTTGAAGATTTTTTAAAGATTTTAGAATCTTTTTTATATATTTGTAAAATGGACTTTCCATGGATTTATGTTCTTTTACCTTACCTTAGATGTTGAAAGTATATTTGACTTGGACATTGACCTACCTATTTAGATACATTGTAATAAGCAGCTAAGTAAGGAATTACACCATAAATAATACTTCAATTGAAATTGCATGATTCAAGCTTAAGATTACCAAGGAATTGTTGACATGTGGATCAATGAGGTTAAAATTGCTTCACCATGATGGAGTCTTATTTTTTAATAATATAAGAAAAAATTAATAACATAATCAAAATCTCTTCAATTTGACCTTGACAAAGATAATACTAATAAATTTCTTAATGGATGAGGCCCAAATTTTTTATCTAACAAGTATGGATAGAGGAGCCAATTGCACATGAATATTCTATTACACACATATATATATATATATATATATATATATATATATCTTCAATGAGTCAATGTTTGGAAAAAATGCTACAACTACATTGGAGCTTTTTGGTGATCCAATTTTTGGAGTACTAATCATATTTTTATTGTTATTTGGTTATATAATAGAAATCCAAAATATTGAGATATTATTGTTACTTTACTATTAAGCTAGAATTTGATATTATGTATAGGTGCTTGAATTGGTTTATAGGTGTGAAGAACCGATGTATCTTTTGCTATTAGGCATTGCATTAGAATGGAAGTTAACTTGGAAAGATATGCAATGTGCCCATTTTGGTGTTTTGTACATGATCATTTATAAGTATGCATAGGTTATAGATTATAGATTAAAGGCAATACTAGATTACAAGTTCTTTCACTATACAACCTTTCTAATGTGACTCCAACATTATTGATATTTGATTCTTATTCTCTCTACTATTATAGTATTTTTATAGATTGAAGTTAGTTAATAATTCTATTTAACTTGCATTTTCTTCAAAGTATATGTATTTTATTATAAGGAGTACTAGATCTTATAGTTACTTTATTTGTATTGCTAAAGATGTAGGCAAGATTGGAAATTAAAGTAGTGACATTCAACCTTAAAAAATCCTCTAATTAAATTTTATTGATTAATCTCTTGCTTTCTAAAATGACATATGCCTCTTAATTCTTCCTTGATAGATTATTATGACCTTTCAATTAATTTTTATTATAAAAAAAAATATAAGAAGAAAGTTTAATTCTAAAACTAAATGAGATATTATAGACTAGAATAATAGTGAACTTGCTATGATTACTTACCATGTATATATGTTCTTTTAGAACATGATTAATGAAGACTCTTCTAAATAAAGATGTTATTGCAACCATGGTAGATATAAATGAAACAAGCTTAAATTTAAGCAAACTCTCATTGTGAGATAAAACAATGAGTGTTATCACTTAGAGACTTTCTAAGATTGATTTTTGAGGAAAAATATTCACTTATTAATTAACTTAAGGTTGAGCTAGAAAATATGGTGTAGATACTTTTATCTCAGATTGTAAATGGTGAACTATATCTTCTTGAAAAAGAGACTTGGAATTAAATATATCTTAAGTTTGAATAGTTTTATTTTCTTGCTTCTTTTCATTTGTGCTGTACCAATATGAATCTTTTAACATCCATATTTTTAGCAATTTGCAAAAAATTAATATGAGACAAATTATGTATAAAATTAATATTACTAAGCTGAGTATTGTTAGTAGCTTGTTTAAATATGTTCTCCAAATTCTTACTTATAATTTTCTTTGTTGGTCACAATCTTGCTTTGCAAAGAGCTATATATTATCAAATCCTACAATCAATACTAAACCAAACTTGCATCCTTGCAAAAGATTTAAATAATTTATAAAAACAGATTTATTAATTTTAGTTTTTTAGGTTTGTAATATAAATTTCCAACTTTTAGCATGATTTTTAAATATGAATATATGTATGCGTATATATATATATATATATAATTTAGTTTTTTTATTATACAATTTATGATATTTTTTAATAGCTCTATATGCAAAATTTTCATAATGTCAATATATAAGAAAGATATGTTTTTTTTAAATCTCAACATGATTACACATATATCCTTTATAATTTTTATAACTAATAATTGGTGTTAAGTACAATGATACTATATTTACTTGCCAATTTTTTGTATAGATTAGACTATGATATGATGAAATTGCTATTAAATTTACTTGATTATATTAAAAAATTAATTAAAAATTAGAAGATTTTAATATTATTAAAATTAAAAATTAATTATTTTAATTCTATTTTTAAAATTATGTAATTGCACTTCAAAACTTCAACAATTATGAAAAAATATAATGTGCCTTGAAAATATACAATTGAAAATGAAAATCATAATATTTGATATTCAACAAATTAAGTTTCTTACAACATAAGAAAAGACTTAACATTGGCAAGAAGGTTACTATTTGTAAGATGGAAACTCTAAACATGATAAATAAATGTAAACATAAAAGAAGATAATATACTAAGAAATAAATTTAATCACCTACAATAAATAATAATAATAATGATAATAAAAGTTGCAGTTGGATTCTTGTGCAGCATCTTCTTCTAAAGATCATGTATTATAATTTAAGGAATTTTCTATATTTTATGGTATGAATTTGACCTTGGACCTCGGCAACAAGTATCACCAGTGCTTTGCCAGAGTTCATTGGTACCTGCTTCGCGGAGTTTGTTGCTGCGAGTGTCCTTGTGGTTCTAGGTACGCTTCTTCACTTCTTCACTCCAGTCTCACATGGACAATCCACGGAGGCTCAAGTTGTCGTTCGGATCTTCATGTAGGGGTGCAGATTGAGGTCAGAGACACAACGGAACAAATCATTGATTCATATCAAGACTACGTTACAGTTACCCACATAAAGAATTTTCGTTAACCTTGGTGATGCCAGTCCCTCCCTAATGGCTTCATTCATGATCGGTGTATTTTTCTGGGCCATGGGTTGTCTCGCGCTAGCATCTTGTTTGCTGGTGGTGGTCGATTCTCGGCAGAAGCTGTGGTGAGAGCTTTCTGCTGAGAGTTTCTGATGACTGCAATATTCCCACCTCATACATTAGCATTCATTTCGTGCATTCCAACCCCAATTTACTTAAATTCTAACCTTTAAAAATTAGAGTAACTACCCGCACTTTCATGCATGGGAGACACTACGAGGACAATAAAGAACTTGAGGATATCTGCGCTGATGCTGATAAACCATCCAGGCAACTTTGCGGTCCGTAAGTTGATCACCTGAATGTGTCCCTTGCGTTTTTATTCCCTTGTTGCGTGCTTTGGACTTATCTCTGACACGTCTATGGCGTCGTATGCTGATGTCAATGTAACAGCAGAGTGTTGGAGTTGCCGTTTGTACTTGCCATGCCATATTCCACAGGTTCAACCGATGCAGGATAATCTGTAAGCTCGCAAGAGTCTTGTTCAGCATCACTCTCGTCCGGAAGCTACTGATTTAGGAATATGTATCCTGCTACGGGTTTGGAGAATCATGGTGACCAAGAGGAGAGCTGGGTTTCATAAGCATAACGTTGTCCAACCTTGAGAGTCCCATGGAACAATTCCAAGCCTTGTTTATGCTTGGAATTGGTTTCTTCACAGATTTAGGTTGATTCTTCGTCCACTTCCATCAATTTCGTTACGGATAATAAGTTCCACCTTGTCAAGGCGTTGGTGCTAAAATGCATCGTTCCCTTGAATGAGAAATTTCTCTACCGCTCGAAGTTGGGCTGTTCTCAGATCCTCAACGTTCAAAAACTGTCGAGATCGGGAAGGTCGCTTCATTGCCCCAGCAATGAATATACACATGAAGGCACTGCTGGTGTTCTGTTACGCTACGCAGCATTGTGAATGGATTCCAATTCCTGCGAAGAAAACTGCTGGTTCTGCTACTGCGAATGCCGCCCAGGTGCGTTTATTCCTCAAACCCTTTGCAACAGTGTTCGATGACATACTTGAGACTGTTTTTGAATTCCATACTAATCTGTGATTTACTTATGTTGCATTGAAACAGATTTGATTTGGTGATGCACAAGAACAAACTCCCAAAACTGACGAAGTGAGTGAGTGACAATGAAAAATCTGAGTATTTCACCCATCCTTACAAAAACCTTAATTTCGGTTGATTGCTGTACTACTAATGTTTGTGGTTTCTGCAATGCTGCAAGCTGGATCTGAGGCTTCAACTTCACTTTGATCTGTGCATGCTTAGTAGTTGTTTCTTTTAGTAGATTAATCGAGTATGGAAATGAAGTATAACATAGGCAAACATGTTGCCAACAGTACATGGCTCAATATGTGTGTGCATTAGTGCTTCGTGTGTTGCATGATGTGCTACCACAAGCAGAGGCAAATCAAGAACAGAACAGAAGGTGAAGGCCTTGAAACAAACCCAAGTGCTAATTTAATGGCATGGGCAATGGGCTTATGATTAATTCTATTGACGAAATTACTTTTTCTTCAATTAAGCACTGTGAATTCTAATTTTAATTTTGATGTAATTCAATCAGAGCCTTCATTTCTTTTCCATAAATAAATGAGCAAATAATTTATGGTTTGGTTTGTAGGATTTCAAGTATTCCATTTTAACAAGATAAAAGCAATTATGACTCTGATCTTTGATTTGATTCACTTAATGCTACTCAAAAGAAGTTTATATCATAATCTGTGGTATCATTGTTTAATACAAATCTCTGTAAAATTAAATTTTACTGCGTTTGTGTCCTACTTAAATATCTAACATCATATTATGCCTATTGCTATATACATAATTTTTCTACAATTTTCTTATATTAAATATGATTTGCAATGAACAAGATTATTTTTTAAAAAAAATTGGTTAAAAAATTTAAAACTTGTGTTTTATTGATAATCCTATTTCAAAAAAATTATGACATAAATGTGTTCTTTCCCAAAAAAAATATTTTAAAAACATTTATACTCAAAATTCATATGTGAAACTTTTTATAACATTGGGAGAACTTATGATTACTTAACAATCAAATAGTTCATAGACGACCATACATGTGACACAAAAAAAAATAACATGCTTAAATGCTCAAAAATCCAAGAAGAATGTATTAACTTCCAGAAAATGTATCAGAGTTTTAATAAAATTAAAATGAAATATAATAATAATAATAATAATAATAATAATAATAAATCTCACTAAAAAAGATGGAAAAATTTAAAATTTTGATGTAAACTAAATAGAGTGGAAATCCATATACTATAATTAAATTATGCAATGCTTGAGCCTTATTAAATATGATTTTTGAGATATATATATATATATATATATATATATATGGTGCAAAATCTACTTCTATTGTTAATTATGTTGTTTCCAAAGAACTTTTTTGTATATAATTTCAAACAAGATTTAAGAAACAATAAATAAAAGTATGTTTATAAATATTTATTTGGCTACTATAACTTGTTGCGATTAGAATATATTTTTTTCATTACACAAAATTAATGAATGCTTATGAAATGATTAAAATAGTCTTTATCAAATATTCTTTCATTAAATATGCAAATAATACTATAATTATTTTAAACACTTTTACACAAAGTTTTAAAATAGGAACAACGGTGTGTCTTTATTCACTAATTCCACCTCAATGTGTATAAAGTTTAAGCACGATATACTAGAAAAAGGTAACCTTTTTAATCTTTGCCACTAACACAATACTATCTTTTAACATGTTCATTAAATTTGCAACATGGGATGCACAAATGTGTATTCTATTTTGACTAAAATGTATGATAATAACAAAACATGTTCCATGTCTTAAAACATATATATATATATTTATATTTATATTTATATATACGAATTATTTCTATTTTTAACCTTAAATATTAGTTTGTATTCTCCCTTGATGAAATATCTAGCATGAAATGGATAGTCTACCAAACCTGACTTTTCATTTAACACTAATGCTGTAGAGAAAGTCATAGCTTTTTACATACTAGTGTCAGAAGGATCCAGAAGCTGCACGTTTCATTTACATTGCTTGCATTTCAAGGCAGCTTTGGGCCCATTGTAGGAAGTCATTGTTTGTGGAATACCCCAAAAGCAGGAATGTAATGAAATGTTAGGATTTTTGCTGAATGAATTCAGCATGAGGTGAAGCTTCTTAACTTTACATCTTGATATACCATTCATGACGGTATTCCTTTTTTTGTCTTTTTAAAATAAAAAAATAAAAAAAACTACATTCCTTTTTTTTAAACAGTCAACAGTACAAATATATGAACGTTGTAGTAGATGCCACAGTTTAGAGAATAATGGGTGTAACTATTAGCTTAAGTATGTTCAGTAAAACTCCTTAATTATGAAATCATCAAATATTCAACAGACAAGTTGTACATGGAATTACACTTGAATTGATTCTGGTTGAATTTCGTAAATAATTGCTAAAATTAGCTTTGAGTTGGTAACAACAGACATTACACACACACACACACATATATATATATATATATATATATACACACACTGAAATTGGCATGACTTTTCTTTATTTAAATCACAAGAATATATATATATATATATATATATATATATGATCGTACTAAAAAGAAATTTTAAATATGCTTTAAAAGTACAACATTAAGAATGCCATGGAAAATTCAACACGTACACAACTGAGGATTATGATTCAAATGACCATGTTCAAAATTTTACTCAAATTAATTAATTTAACATGTTTTGGAGCACTGAACAGCGGGTATTAGATTTCGAAGTCTGCATCAATACAAACACTGACATTGTGTACATTTCCAAATAAATTGTCTCAACACTACTTTGATGTTTAGTGTGGAAACGTTCTGACATAAATTCTTAGTGTTTTGATTTGAAAAAACTTTAACCATTTAGTAACAATTAGTTCTCTTCCGTATAGAGATATGCACAATGCCATTGCATCGTATTAATTGTGAATAACTCTTTCACCTCCAGAATGACAATAATTGGTCTAAGCTAACTTTGAGTTCCCAAAGAATAGTTACCACATTTTAAAACTCAACAACCCAAATCCCAAACTTTCTAAATACTTCCTAAAATACTTTCTAAAAAAGCTCTAAAGTGGAATGTATAAGAAAATAATCTATTAATACAAATTGGATTTATGGGGACCAATCCCGCTTTCTCCAAGAAGCTCCCCAAGCAACAGCCTCAGGGAACAATAACTTTAAAGTAAAAGAAAAGAAAAAAAAGCAACAGATGAAACAAGGCAAATGATGGCACTTGAGGAGGCCGACACTGAAACTGTTAAGAAGCAACCTCGAAAAAGCTTTCAGAAGCAACTACCCAGCAGCAGCTTCCTAGAAACTTCTGACCTCGGAGGGACGCAGCTTCAGTGTTGATTTCATGAACCCATTTTTGTGTGTTGGGAATGCCCGAAACAGATTCCGATCTGCTACAGTTTAGTGTCTGCATTGGATGACTTGGTTGTGCGGCATGTGCCATTGTCCTCCACACAACCATGATGCTGCGTCCGAAGCACCTCGAGCATGTCTGCACTTGTGTGTTCATCTGTGGTTTAATCGATGCTCGTCTTTTTTTAGTGATCAATGCTTCAAATTAAAAACGAAACATGTATGATTTTCAATTGCGCTACTGCTGCATTAGCGATGTTCAATGTATCGTTGACATTTCGCTAGAAGCTGCATTGGATACTCCACAGGATCCTATGCTAGATCCCTAAACTCATGACTCTGATATAGAAACAGAAAGTGTCGGAGTTATCATCAGGCGGAGGGAATCTGAAGGGGTGTGCGAGGCGTGAGAGTGTTTCTGCAGAAGGTCTGCTAGGCGAAGGATGCACCTACGGGTTTACTAGCATCGAGCAAAACACCAGAAATTACAAGCAAAGCTAGAAAAAAGCGAAACGAATGGCTGCGAAGGTGGAGAGCTCTGAGGACTAGTCAACGTATATGACAGTGACACACGTTTGACTTCGTGTCGTGGAGTCGTGGTTCGCTACCATCCTCAATTATCGAAGAGGGAAAAAGGCTTGCTCTAGATACAACGTAGGCCCTGAACACAGCTTTCATTAAATGCCTGAAGTTTCACAGTTTTGAGTAATATTTGACCAAGCAAACCACGGTTCACCGGATCCGTCAATTTCGTTCCGAAGTGTGGAGAAGGTTGAAAGGTTGCACATGGAGGCTTTCGATGCTCCCACTGCTGTGTGACAATCAGGAAACTGATTCAAGTCAGAAGATGCACGGTTCGCTACGTCTACGGGAATCAGACAAGTAAAGTAAATTTTCCTTTTGGCTGCGAAAGACACAAACGAGGAGCTGTATTACTTCTAATTAGCTTGCCGATCCGGATCGGTACTAAAAAAATGAAGGGCCACAAATGAGCAGGGAGAATTCGGAATTGGGGCCAAGATTCGTGCCTCGGAGGATGGATGTCATCCATCGTCCCATGTGGACTAGACCCTGGCCACGTCACCCACCTCTTGCCACGGTCCAGCGGGGAGACGTTGCCCAGTCTGACCGGGTCCTGCCAGCGTAGTTGGCGGGAGCTGACGTCAGTAGGCTGTGAGATCCTAGCCCTGGGCAGCAGGCTCAACCAGACATGGGCAGACCATAAGGGCAGATTCTGGCGAGTTTAATTGAGGCTGTTGAAGACCCAAGTATGGTCCAGAAGCTTAATGTTTGTCTTGGATAATTGAAATGTGCTCTTTCTTATTGTTGAGGTTTTGTCATTACTTCTTTCCCTATTTTTTTCCTACGTTTATTTCAGATGATGTATCAGGCGCATTCCAACATATTCTTCATAGTTTCAGTTGTTGTTTAATGGATGGTTGTGCAAAAGGGTTTTGTTTTGTTTTGTTTTTGTATTTTTGTTTCTTTTTTTTTTTTTTTACTCTGAAGATTGGTGTGAACAATATGCAATCCGGACATCAAGCTCGAGTGAGCTTGCACTAACTGCGGACTCTCCTCCGCTTGTACAACAGTATTCTATCCAGCACCAATATCGAGTTTTGAGGGAGATCCAGACGGATTCCCTGCAGGTAGGTCCCGCCACACGGTGACAGCGGACGAAGCAGCAGCTAGGAAAACGCTGAAAAGCCACACCGTCATCGTTTCTAGATTCAGTATATGTGGGTCTCGTCACCAAAACTACTTTTCGAAGACCTACGCGCTGTCCTTCAACCATCGCTTCTCAAGCATTCCTACAAAAACACCTCGTAACCACCTGTCAGCAGAACTTGTCTCCGCAATCGCCTGCCGGATAGTGACAGCCCACCTGGTCTCCAGAGTAGGTTCGGATGTCAATAGCTCATGCTGGAGTCCAACTGGGGCCAATGAGTGATTGCAAACTGTGCAGCTGGTTGGCTACGCTGGCGGGCCGTGTAGGAGTTGGTGCCTGCCGCGAATATTGGTGAAGAGGAAGGAATGTCCGTCGGTTTATAGTTAAGTGACGCGGTAGGTTAGTGTAGTGTGTTCATGCTGTAGAGGCAGGGGATTATTTCCAAGAAACCATTGCAGAAGTTTGGAGGTTGCGTGAAGCGCAGTTGACCTCAATTTCAACTGCAGGCACACTAAGCATAGGCCAGGCCCCCTTCTGCAAGAAAGAAAAGTTTTGCTTTGTACTACAAAACTAATGTCTGGTCTGTTGTAATTTCGGTTCTTGGGTCCTTGTGGAGCGAAGATTGAAATGCTCTTCAGGTTTGAGGGGATCAGCTGGAAGAGCACTGTCATTAATCGGGATCCTCAAACGTTTGTGATAGGAGCGGCGTGGAAGGAATATCGTGCGTAAGTAACTAAGCTACATTATTAGGCTGTTCGATTGCGCGAATCTTTTGAGTTCTAGTAGACGATTGAACTTATGTCGGGTGTAGGAGGTAACTCGAATCCCCCGGGAAATGGCAATCCGTCTGCCGACGTCCCCTACTATGATTCCAATAATCTTGCCCAGGTGAATTTCAATCCTACCACGGCAGTTCTCATCATCGTTCTGATCGGGGGCTGCTTCATGGCCGCGATCATCGCCACCTTCGTTCGAAGATATTGTGCTGGGAGCGGTTATCCACCGGCTTCGTCCACAGCGCAATCCACAAATGTTTCCTCCAAACCACGGGGTCTTCGCAAGGAAGTGGTTGACGCGCTACCTCTGATCCACTGCAAGGATTTGGATGAAAAAGATGATCGGGAGTGCCCTGTCTGCCTGACCGAATTCGAACCGGAGGATAACTTGCGTCTACTACCGGCTTGTAAGCATATTTTCCACCAAGAGTGCATCGATGCGTGGTTCGATTCACACTCAACTTGCCCCTTGTGTCGTGCAAGCTTGCTGGATCATCCCGGGGCCATTGAAAGTTTGAATGGCGAGCAAGTCGCGCTTGGGGAGCCCGTAGAGACGATTACAGAGGTTTCTGAGTACGGGGACAGCGACACTGATTCGCAACGCGTGAGCAATGTCTCGCCTCTAGAAGGTAAATTTCCATCCTTGATGAATTTTGAGGTTCTAATCAAAGTGTTATAGTATAAACCTCACTTGTTTCACTTCGCTTAAATTTGGTCAGAGGTGAGGGTTGAAAGGGTTTCATTTCCCATGTAATTTTCTAGTTTTTGAATAAAAGTAGCCATCAGATTAATGTACCAATGTCTAAGTTTTGTGCTTAAAACTTTGTATGCTTCAGACCATCCTACCAACTCAATACCAATGCCTGGTGCCCTCACATCACGAGAAGACGAGCGAAACAGTGCACGCGGAACTCTATCTCGAAACTCCCTTTCCTTCAAGCGCGCCGCGCGTGGTGTCGAAGCGTATGAGAAGGGCGCAGCCTTACCCGTAAATCCTTCCTCTAAGAATGCTAGCTTTCGAAAACCACTGGTGGCACCTCCCACAAACGCTGGCATCAGACGATCGTCATCCTTGGGAACCGACTTGATAGCTTTGCGAAATCTTCTGACAGGTGGCGATAGTACTCTTGATACTCCTGCTTCGTATAGATTGAATGCCACTCGCAGCGCCGTACCGAAGTCTGATGCGCCATCTGACTCATGGTTTAGACGAGCCAGAAGCATGAACTTGGGAATAGGGGAATCCACCCTCTTCGGTGGACTCACGAGAGAGCGCTCTGAAGATGAATGGGTAACAATCGACTTGGAAACTGGAAAAACTGCAGCTGCTGGACCAAGCTCAAGTAAAGGAGAATCTCCCAAAGCTCCGATTGCATCGAGCGCCGCACCAGAGCGCTCGTGGTCAGATAGGTTTAGTTTGGCCAGCATAAGGGGTGCTCTCAGCAGGACGACCTCAGACATTTCATCGCGCACCCGCCATTTGCCAGTTTAAAGATAAGTGGTTATGTCATACCCTTAATGGTCAACCCACGTCACTGAGACTACGGTAACGTGCAGTGTGCGAGAAAAATCTGCGCAGCTGACAAGAAGATCCGGAGAGAGTAACCACGAGGAGAAAGTCGCAGCTGGATGATCAGTATTAGGAGCTGATATTGTTCCAACTTTGTTACATAGTCACCGTTAGTCTCCATTGACTGATTTTAGTACAGAGAAGAGATGTAGATTCCCAGCGCGTGTACAGAGTTGTAGAGGCTATCTTTGAGTCACCACAGAAGAATTCAGAGAGTGCAGTATCACAGTGACCCTTAAATTTTAGGCATTTTCACATTTGCAATTTTGTAGTGCAATCTCAGTGTAATTTACAAATTGTTGATAGAGCCATGGCTTCTCACCTTGCATCCTACTACTTTTCTATGTTTCTATGATTTTCCCTGGAGAGCACTGAGTTGCATTCTCTTGGTCACTGCATCTGCCATCGTGACCACAATCCCTATGCTCGTCTTTGTAAGTAATGCTGCAATTTGATACTTTGGCTTTAAGGAGTTTAAACCTTTAAACCAGCGGTTTGAGTTAATTTCATCTTTTTACGCATGGTGACGATGATGATGTAAGAAGAGGGTTCCATTGTGATTGCTTTGTGATGTTTTTTCGTACGTGATCACAGTTGAAAACCAGGTGTACTACTAATTGAAGTACAACCCATGCGCAGTTCCGTCCTTCATTTCGCACCTAGTCAAAGTTATGTTGATTTTTGACTCAGCAAAGTTAGTTACCATCCTCCCTCCTAAACGAAACCAATCAAAATTCCGTACTTCACATACTGAGTATGTACACTCATACACACAAGAATTCTGTAACTGAGTTACATGTGCAGGTTTGGACATTAGAATTGTGTCTATGACTCGGAATGTCCAGAACAGCCACTCCGGGTCCGACGCCACAAGTCTCCGCTCAACTCGCGAAATATTCTCGCAGATATATTTGAATTGCCGACATGTAGTTGAGGCATGTAGCATTGTGATGAGCTAGCAGCGGCATCTTCACCATTGTGGACGGAACGTGAAGCATCGTCCACGCGCTCAAGGGATGACTGCAAGTCAAACACACGGAAACCATTAAACCCGGGAATGTGGTGCATAGTGGTCGGCATTAGTCACAATTCGACGTTGATCCTCAGATGTTTCTATCGTTGGCATGGGTACCGCCATCCTTGAAATTGTGCGTAGAGAATGGTCACCATGTATCGGCAGGTGGTCATGTCCAGAAAAATTATTTAAATAAAATATTTAAAACATATTAATACATAGTTTTACTTAATTTTTTATTTAATTATTTAATTTCATTATCTGATTTAAATATCTTCAAAATTTTAATTTTAATAATATAATATATTTTTATTTATTTATTTAGTAATGTTTGTAATAGTAGCTTGACATTGGACTCTAATGAGATAAAACTTAAGAAGTGACGATGAACATTATAAAGCAAAGATGTTATATGTCTTACTTGCTTAATTACTTTTATTAAAACTTAACATGATATTACAAACTAATATAATATTTGTGTGAATTTTTGAATTTATTAATAATATATACTCAAATATTGGGTTTTAATAATTGGCCATGGTAAAAGTAATTTAAAATACAAAGATCTTTCCAAGTAAGTAGAGAAAATGAGATAAGATTTATTAGATGCAAAAGAAATTAAATCAAAAGATTAATGTAAGGAGTCCCAAGATTTACTATAAATTTATTATTTAATACCATTCAATCATCTTTTCAGTTTGAATTCACTTTCTTTTTTTCTTTTTTCTTTTTTTTTCTTTTTTTTAAAGTTATAATAATTCATGGATTAAACTAGAGTTTTATGTTTGTGGGTATTTATATATACAGTATAATGTTGAATGAAATAATAACGGTTTAAAATTTTGAAATATATTCACATTTTAAAACTTGAATTAAATCAATAATATTTTAATTTTTAATGATTATTAAATTATATCTAATTATTCAATGTATTTATCAATTTAGTATAATTATGTTTGATACCAATTTTTGTAATTGAATATTGCTATTTAGAGGTTAAATTACAATACACATAAGAATATATTCAATCATGTGTACAAATTCTTAATTTCTTTGTATCTATCTATCTCTCTCTCTCTCTCTCTCTCTCTATATATATATATATATATATGCATATATAATCAAGTTTCATAAGATATAGTAATGTTTATACTTATTATTTTATTAATATTTATCAACAATAGCTGTATCATTTTACAGAAGTGCAAAAATTATAAATTTGTGTAATGAAATTTATTTTTAATTTCTGTAATATATGCACAACGTGAATTTTAATTTTTCTGATTCAAAATGAAATTCAAAAATTTTGTATTGAAATTAAAATTTCATTCGTTTCAAAACAAAATACATTATCAGCACTAAATTTTACATTATGATTAACAATTATACTAGTGTTTAGAATGTTCTATTAAAAATAACCTAAAATCTTCGAATTAATTTAAGGTTTTTAATATATATATATATATATATATATATAGGACTGGGATCATGGTGAAGGAGCCTTACAAGTTGGTTAGTTGTTTTCAAGTAAACTAGGGGGATAATAAAGGTGGTGTACACTGTCATGTTCAAAGCCCAAGTCACACAACAAATCACTACCCTACCAAACACGTCGTTCCAATTCCACCCCAATCTAAGTATGAAATAACAGTAAAATCCTATCGTTTTCACTGCGTCCAAAATCATCCATCCTTAGAATTAATTCTCAGGAGTACTCCACCAAATTCCATGGCAGCTGCAGGTGAGTCTCACTCACTCAACTCATTCTCTATCTCACTCACTTACTCTCTACCTCCATCTCGCCCTGGCTCTATACTTAGACAATGCATTGAAGAAGGAAGAAGCAGAAGAAACAGAGCAACAGGGAGGCAAACAACAAAAAGCCAAACCCAGTGCTGCTGCAACAAAAGCCCCAGGCCATAGATAGAGTAGATGGGACGCCATGGGTCTGGTGCAACTAACTGCTGGACTTTGAATGAGGAGGGGCTCCTTCTTCACTGACACCGCCCACATGGCTGGCCGGCTTGTCACCCCACCTGCACCCCGAGCCCCAGCTTCGGGTTCGGCTCGGGGCAGCCGGTGGATACGACCGGCGGAGCCATGGCGAGTGTTGGATGCAGTTAGTCAGGGCCGTCAGCCAGAAGCCTACAGGAAGGGGCCTATGTATTGATTACGCGCTGGGCGGAGGGCCGGCCCTCCTCCGCACGGCTTCTTGCTGGTAGTCACTTGCAAGTGACAACGTTGTAGGTAAATTATGCCAGGTGCGGATTTGGACCTTGCTGGGTCCTGCATTGGCAATACTTCGTGATTGCTCGCCTAGATCTAGACATCGATGGGGAGTTTGGGTGTATTCGCATGCAGGGGCGTGGTGTCTGGGACCGTTTGAGTTTCGTGGCAGCGGGTGCAGGAAGCGAAGCAGCAGCAGTAGCAGAAGACGAAGAAGAAGCAGAAGCAGTAGAGGCAGTAGCAGGCATGGAAGGATTAGAGTTACTGCGATCAGTCCACAGTGGGTGACAGACTGATGCGCCTCTGTTACTCTGCGCCTGATCCGTACGAGCTGGGCAGCTCTTTGGAGAGAGGGGTCTGGCCATGTCGTCTCGAATTGGCGTCAATGTTGGCATGTTAGGGTTGGAGTTGACGTCAGATGTATTGGTTGACTGGAGAAGGATTGATCCAGTCCGATGACGGTATTTGAGTGCTGTGTTATTTCTGGAAGGATTTTGCGATGATGATGATGATGCTGATGAGCAGGAGGAGGATGCTGTTCTCGGGCATTTTGGGGAGCTGGCAGTGGTGATAATGGCAGTGTGTGTGTGTATTGGCGGCCGTCGCTGGAAGATTGTTTTGGTATCTGCTGAGACGAGCAGCAGGAAGGTAGCGTCTGTGTGAGGACGGTAGCTGGGGTTGGTGTTGACGCTTGATGGTGATGATCGCCATTTGAGTTTTAGCTCGGAGGCCATTGCGACGTTGATGTAGCAATGGCGATTTCTGTGAGTGGAGCTTAAGTTTCAATTATGAGGTTTGGACACCATTAAGCAAGCTTCTTATTCGAGGTCAAGGATGGGAAATTCTCAAAGTGATTTTATGGTTCGAAGAAAATGGTGTCCTCATTCCTTCAAGCTGCGCCAATACGCCGTTGTTATTTGCTGAAGAATGTGCAGATGTGATAACATGGAACCTGGTGATATCGCTTTTTGTCGACGTGAATGCTATATCTGATGTGGATCTTTAGGCTTTTCCCGCTGGATGACCTTTCGAGCTCTGTTACAGTGTACTCGTACCAGGAATCTTTTCGGATCGTTCACGAATAGCCATTTTAGGGCTTGTTCGTCCAAGCAGGGAAAGCTTTCTCGAATTGTTTCATATCCCAGGAGCATCACCTGAGATTTTCGTTAATACACTGCATTACTGTGGCCAGGAGGACATGAATGCAGTGAGAGGTAGGAATCAAAGGCAACTGTTCTCGAGATTCCCACATGCCGAATTTTGGAGACATGAACTCGCTGTGCTACTCTAAATAATTTGCAAAGGAGCTTCGGGTAGGTGGCATTGCCAATGGGCTTTGCGTGCTGGAGGGGAAGCCTACATTTTGCAATGTCAAAGGTAACTCTGCTTTAACGAAGAATTCCTGGACAGTGATCCTCGATCTGGGTGCTCTTGTGGGATGAGTACTGGAGAAATGGAGCTCGGAGGTTTGTCAAGTTTTCTACCTGGAACTACTTGCTTGTTTGTCGCATGAATGTAGCTCTTGCGAATGCTTCAGGCTCCTTCCAAGCATGTCACTGACATATGGAGACTTCGGAGGGCCGTCACCTGCGCCGTTGCCCTACTACCAGCCGCCTTCCAATGGCTCCCGGCCATTTCCCAATTCTCCGGAACCGAGAGGGTCGCCCGGCGCGACCCCATTTCGTCCCAGTATTGCTGTGATTATTGGCGTTCTCACCACCATGTTTTCCCTCACCTTCCTCTTACTACTCTATGCCAAGCATTGCAAGCGTGTCGCGGAGGCCGAGGGAGAAGGGGCTGCCCCCGAAGAAGCCCCTGCAGCTGCTCCCGCAGCTTTCCATGTGGATGCTGGTCTTGATAGGGCGATTGTAGAAGCCCTTCCCATGTTTACTTTTGCGTCTTTACAGGGTGTGAAGGTAAGGCCTATTCGAGGCCTGTTACTTTACTTTATTTCGGTCAGCCTCAAATTTCATATCATTTCCAGTTTACCTCGACTGTGATCGAAATTTTAATCAGCTCATGGTTAGAAGATCTAGTTCCCTGTGAGGATTTGAAAACAATTTTCTGGTCCATGAATTTGAGAATCAAGTTGCCTGCAGGAAGGGTTGGAGTGTGCAGTTTGTTTGAGTCGTTTTGAAGACGCCGATATCTTGCGCCTGCTTCCGAAGTGCAAGCACGCCTTCCATTTGGACTGTGTTGACACATGGTTAGTGTCTCATTCCACATGCCCACTATGTCGACATTGTATCACCTCCGACGACCTCTCTCTAGTCGACGACATGGTGATCGCTAGGAACTCGCAAGAAGCAGTGAGCCAAGAGCTCGCTGTTGTGGCGTCCTTGCCTAGAAGCTGTTCTCTTCCTCGGCGATCCTCCGCCGATAGGCGAGAACGTACTTCTCAGGCATGCTACTACCATTGCATCATATTTCCACTTCTTTCAATTGGAGTTCTAATCTATGTGACGTTTTGTCAACACACACTAGAATATGGAACCTTATGTTTCCTTCTTTGTTCCTTCTCATTTCCCTTACAGATTGTGGTCCAACGGGACAGCACGAGTGGGACTATAAGTACAAAGAGGCAGGTTTGCCGGACAGATGGGATGTTGCTCGGTGATCCTCCACTGGAGCACACACTAGATTCGCACCGTATGCCATCTGGTAGAAGACTCGGCCACCGAATCATCATTTCTGATGTTGTCATGCAACAGCGATGGAGTGACTTCGCCTGTGCAGACATCTTGCTCCTCAACACACACACTTTATTCGGACCGAACGAAAGGTTGTCTGTTTCTCGCATGTCCAACAGCTCTAGAAACGATCTGCACCCTCCTTTTAAACGGGGTGAAGTGGAATTTTTCAATCGGCGCTCCAGCTCCAGTTCCAGGGCAGACGCTACATCGTCTACTTGCCAAGAGTTCACCATAGTTGATGGCAAGGCACGCCTGTCCACTAGTTTCAGTAGAAAAGACCGAGGGTCTGCATCCTGGAAGCATGGTGCATCGACCAGATTGGGCGATGAGTTGTCTACTTCTTCTGATATCTCTGTTGAGATGCCTCCAGAGCCATCTCGGCGGTCTACCAGCCGTCTTTCTGGCATCATAGACAGGCCACCGTTGCCACCAGGGGTGAACGGTGCTGGGAAGAATTTGCCATTCTTGAAGAGAGGATTCTCCTTAGGGAGAACTATCATTGACCCTGAAGGCAGATTGCTTCCCAGGGTTGATCTGAGAACCATGTCGGAGATCACTGTGCTTGAACGAGTTGCACAATCACGGAAGAAAGACTTGACGCTTGTGGGTGAAGCTCCTGATGGAGCTCCTACACGAGAAGAGGAGAAGGCTCGGAAATGGCTCTCCATTGCTCGGAAGACGCTGAACCGGTTTGTGGGGAGAGAGAAGCGGGCTTTCATGGTCCAGAGAATCAATCGGGAGTTTGATCTCTCATCCAAAACTTAGTAAGCGTCCTCCTTTTTTTTTTTGACACACGATGAGTTTGCAGAGATGTCTCGAGCTGGTAGACTTGTGTGAACGAGGGGTACTTCTCCTCGTGAGGGTCAGCAAGGGCATCTTTCGAGGCTGCTGTGTAAGAGTACTGAAAATCAGTCACCCCGAACATCTGTTGGAGCTATTTAGTTCATGTAGTTCTGATGATCAATTTTTCGGTGATTTTGTACTAAGTTCAGTAAGGTAAGCAGAAGCCACATTGTACAATAATTTATACAGATCAATCACAGAAGGTGTATCCTTATCAGTGAACCGCCAATACTGTCCTGAGTTTAAGTTTGACTGTCTACTCACTAGGTGAATATCTCGTGTGCGTGATACGGAAGTTGTGTTGACTGCATCTCCTCTTAAAAAAACCCATTTGAAGTAACGGTACGGAAAGAATTCATCAAAGCACTGGAATGGAGGAATCGAAAAGTACATAGCCTCAGCAACAGTCTGCGATTATCGTTAATTAATCTCCACCGCTCCTGCTAACAAAATCCCCGGATCTGATAAAATCACCACTGATGCAACTGGACATTTGTCAGTACTGTCAAAATTCTTTCTAATTTTCTATAAAAATCATGTTAAATTTGACGTGAGCTCATCTGAGAGAAAACAATTGCAAGCAAAATCCAGCACTACTAATTGAGTATTAATTTATGAATTTTGATTTAATCAATTAATCTTGGTTGGTTATTTCAAACATACCTTGTGTAATAATTCATTCACCTTCTCAGATATTCTGTAAAATCGTATTATTACTTTGAAATGAATTTGGATTATGTTCTTATTACTATATTCGTTTGTGTATTAAAAATTGTTAATTGGAATTTTGAAATTGTTTGAGAATTTGATGACAATGTAGTAGGTCATAATGCACTTGCTATTGAGGAGGGTGTACTTGAGTGCAATGAGAGAATATTGCCAAATTGTTTGTTAATTAATCCACAAGTTTAGAAGCAAGGCCAATAGAATGTAGCAAGAATGTGCAACAAAAGGGTGGATTGCATGAAAGACAGAATGTAAGAAGAACCACACCCAAAGTATTTTATTGACCATATTGTTTATTTATTTAATATGCATTATTAGGTGCAAGTGCCACTTCTTGGAATGTTTGTGTGTAAGAGACCTATGATGGGAAAGAAATGAGAAATTAAGTAAGGATTTTGACAATGATAATATCAATCTACAAAACGTTGGGTACATATTGAATACAAAGAGTAATAGGTAAGTGGTATATATTCATTAAAATATGGTTTTTTATTTTATTTTAGTAAAAAGAAAGATTTGAGATGACATCAATACAAGGTTTGTTTGTACAAAAATTAAATCTAGAAATATAGGAAGTATTAAGAATTATTAATGGAATAAGACAATAAACTAAAAGAATTAGTTTTTACTATTGTCTTTGTTCAGTAACAATGTTTTATAATATGGAATAATAAGATATAGTAAAGACTATTGACAATTTAGGTTTGAATGTCAATATTTTCTTTTACACATGGATATAAATTTGTGCTTTCATTAACAATATGGTATTTTCTTTAAAGATGTATAATAATAAGAAATCCATCATATTTGATAAAGGATAGAAAGATAAAAAAACCACAAATAAAAATAAAGATAGATATACCAAAGAAGGTTGTATTTGCTACCTCTAAATGAAGCAATAGCAATTAATATGTTGCGTTGTTGTAATATAATATCCAAAGTTTAAACATGTTAATAACAACAAATTGATTGTCTACAATAAGAATTAGATGGACTCTATAGCAATATTTGAAATTCTTATATTGTAAGCAATTAGTTCTTTTATAATGAATTTATAGTTTGTATAAATAGTTTGTATTCATACTAATATAAATAAATAAATAAATAAATAAAATTATATATATATATATATATATATATATATATAGATGAGATTTACATGTCATTTATTTAAGAAATGCAATAAGGATCAACCAGTATCAATAAAGAATTATTTTATTTATAAAAAAGAAATTTAGAATATATATGGACTTGTACAAAAGAATTTTTATATTAAGAATATAAATGATTTCAAAAATATAAAAATAAAGACTCAAAACAAACATAAAGTTTCTATTCTATGACCTGGTCTTAGAAAAAAAAAGTTTAAAGAGTCTAATTGGTTGAAAACATCTACTTTATTATAAGCATTTAGATACCATTCTTATTTGAGATGATGCTCTAAGATAAAAATGCAAGAAAAATTATTATAGATATAACTTTTGCCTAAGTGAGAATTATTTTAAGTAATATTTAACACCACATTATTGATTAATTCTTTTTACTATAAAGATATTTTGCTAATAATTGACATATTGAGATTTATTTATTTATTTATTTATTTATTTATAGTTTCTATTATTGATAATAATTATTTTTTTATGACTTACAAAATATTCTTATTAAAGTCTTTGTTATAACATTCTAAGCTTGAACAATAAATATTAAAGTTTGGATATAAAGTTTGAAATTAAGAATATAAGAAGAAAAAAAAATTGGATTAGTTCTTTAAGATATATATATATATATATATATATATATATATATATATAATTTTATAGGTGATAAAATAACCTCTATTAGATATCCATCTTCTATTTTTTTTAAAAAAGATTTCAATTACTAGTTGTTTAAATATACTTTTGTGTTGTAAGAAATACTTTTTGATATATTATTAAGCTATTTTATTTATACCTAAAGAAGCTTAGTCTAAGATAGTGGTATTTATATGTCTTTGGCACATGAGATGAACTTGATAAAAGTAAGCTTGTACTAAAGTTAAAGATATTTAGACAAAAAAAAAAAAAACAAAACAAAACAAAACAAAAATAATCTTAAGAATATTGACAAGTTGGTGTCAAGGACAAGAACTCGATAAAAAAGAAATTCAGACAAGTGAGCCTTCACTCAAAGAAAGGTAACAAAATATAAATAAACAAGTATATATATTGAAAAAGAAACTGGAATGGCTATTGCCAAAAGACAAGAAAACTAGAGACCCTTGAAACTAGACTAGAAGCAAGAAAGGAGTTGACAAGAGTGAAGAGGACTTCACTCTTGTCTCTATATATACTATCTAACTAGGGGCTACGTGGCGACGTTCTATATGACCTCCAATATATGTTGACTTTGTAGGACACATGCCTTGACTTACAAGGCAAGTTTTTCTATGTGTGGGCCACATAGTTAGCTTGATCTTCAAGCTAACAACATGTGTGGCACATGGCCAACTTGTTGACCATGTTTCTAATCCAAAAAATCAATTAAAGATACCTATGAAGTCAAAGCAGCGTTTATAAAGCTTCTAGAAAGCTTCCATATTAAATACTATAGAATTAACTTACTTTTACCTACTTTTACTTACTTCCAGCTATTTATATATGTAATTACTAGCTTACATGAGTATGTCCATGACATTACCCTCCCTTCTAAGGACGAGTTCCATGAAAAGCGGTCATCATATGTTGAGGAAATCTATGATGCGACGAATTGTATTCGCCACAAACTCTTATCTTTGTTCTCTTCGAAGATGATTGATAGGGCCTCTCAACCATCGGTAGTGTCCCATACCAGGGCAAGAAGACCATCCAGTTATTTGATCATTGTTGAGGCCTTCATAACTTCCTTCGAATAGAACATTTGGAACATCATCAGGAGTTATTCCTACCTCTAGCAAAATCACCAAACATCGGGAGTCCCTTCCCAAATTGTGATATCAAACACATTGTATCTCACCATCTATTCGAGGAAGAACATGTCGTTCTTGAAGATCTTCATCTTGATTGCGTCGTCTTGAAGGTTGTGACAATCGTAATGTCTCGTTCGGTAGGTCAGCAAATGAAGGCTCCTGAGTCGAATCCGCCCGTTGTTGGTTCTCCATCTTCTAAGCGTCACAACTACAAAGAAGCTACGAACAAAGATTGAAAGTAGAATGTTATCTTGCCTAGATGTTGTTTCTTTTATAAAGAAGGTTTTCATCTTGGTTTTGATGGATGTCGTTGATGAAAAGCCTCCACCGCCTTTGTTGCATTTGTAAGATTCTTTATTAGCTCCTATGTGCGTTCACTAATATCATATCCTCACGAATTGACAAGATATTCTAATTTATTTCAGCGCCGCCTTGAATCTAAAACTTCTTCTACTTCAAACTCTTCATTATTATCCACTTCTATAGGAAGAGGTGGAGCTTGTCATCTTCTTGATATGTCCACTATCTTGTATGGTTCAAGAAGAGATATGTGGAATACTGGATGGATTTTTATTGACTCCGGTAGATGTAAACGATATGCAACTGGATTGATTTGTATAGAAATAGAAAATGGTCCAAGTCTTCGATAGTCCAACTTGTCACAAGGACGAGTGGACTTGATATTGCGACGAAGTAGCCATACCTTATCACCCAAGAAAAATGGTGGTTGTTCCTTTCGATAGACATCCGCATTGACCTTTTGTTGTTCTTGAGCCTCTTTTAACTACGCCTTCATCATTGCATGTAGCTTTGATAAATGAATCGCCAAATCTTTTGCAGCAGGATTATCAACTTTTGAAAAGTTAAAAGTATCAAGTCGTGGATGATAACCATAATTAACAAAGAAAGGTGTTTATTTTGTAGAAGAATGTACCGTGTTATTATAAGCAAACTCTGCCAATGGCAAAAGAGTTGTCCAATCATCTTGTTGGTAATTAATGGTACATCTTAAATATTACTCCAAAACTTGATTAACATGCTCCGTTCGTCCATCAGTTTGAGGATGGAATGTCGAAGATAGTTTTATATCCACTTTAAGAATCTTGAAAAGAGTCCGCCAAAATCTTGATACAAATTGAGTTCCCCTATCTGATATAATATCTTTGGGTAATCCATGATAGCGATAGATATTATCAAGAAAGAGCTTAGCTGTTTCTTTACCTGTGATAGATTTTGTACATGGTACAAAATGTGCCATCTTGGTAAAATGGTCTACTATCACGAATATAGAGTCATAAGAATCTGAGATTAGAAGATCCGTGATGAAGTCCATAAAAACAGAAGACCATGGTTGTTTTGGAATGGGTAATGGCTGAAGAAGTCCAAAAGGTCGATGACGAGGAGTTTTTGATCTTGAGCAAATATCACATGATTGTACAAAATCTTTGACTGCCTTCCACATTTGAGGCCACCAAAAATCCCTAGATATTAGCTCTAAAGTCTTATTATATCCAAAATATCCTGCTGCTGAAAAGTCGTGATGAGCTTGAAGAATA